CAAAGACCTCGCGCCCTCCACGAGAAGAGAGGGGAGGGCAGTAACTCCAGTGGAGGAGTCCAGACACGGGGTGCAGGTGAGCCGCAGCACCGGAAGGAAGGGATACAGGCAAAGAACTCTCGCCATCCACGAGAAGTGGGAGGAGGGCAGTAACTCCAGTGGAGGCGTCCAGACACGAGGTGCAGGTGAGCCACAGCACCGGAAGGAACGGATACAGGCAAAGAACTAATAAGTGACGTAAAGTCGGGCAAAAGGCAGTCACGAGTGGAGCCCAACGGTTACAACTCGACCGTCATACATTCTATTGAAATTAGAAACGTTAGGATTGGCTCTCCATTTGCAGTCTCTCTCGCTGATTCAGTTCCCTGACCCGAACATTATTTCGAATAATTCGCAACTCTGCTTCCCTTCACTTGCCATGTAAATACTTCGAGTCACTGAAACAACAGTCTAGCTTAACAGGCCGTTCCGCAGAAAAGCCTTGACACTGCAAAAACCTGCAAGCAACATTGTACAATATCTGTATATTACTCAGTCGACAAAATTCTGGCGCAGACTGCGTGTTTCGGCCTGTCGAGCCTTTACAATGCCCCTTACTTCTATGCACTATACCTCCTTGCACTGACCAGGTTTATGCAGTGGCAGTTCTTTGCACTGGTACTTTAATGGCAGACTATCAAGATTAGAACTATTGTATGGAAACATAGCTCGAATATTAAAATTGACCTTTTAAAGCCCAGTGCTTCAACACATTAAAACTCTGCCATCTGTTAGAACAGCGCAGTCTCCATGGCGACTGGCTACGGGCTGGACGGCCGAGGGGCCCACTCAGCCTCCTAACCAATGGATACCGGCAGTAATTTTGCCGGGGTGCGAGGCTGACCACCAGTGCCGAGGTCAAGAATACGTGAATCTATAAATCCACTTGATTAGTTAAGCAAACAAAACAAAAACAAACTCCGTGATTCTTGTCCGCAAGCGAACTATACCGACAGAGCGACCGCCTCTTGTCGGTGAAGTTTGGTGCCAACTTTAGCGGATAGAGGGTGTCGCGTGGTCAGCGCAACGAACCCCACTTCCGTTAATTTCGGATTTCTAGACCGGAGCCGCCATTTCCTTGAAATAGCTCCTCAGTTATCATCACGAGGCTGAGTGGACCCCGTTTCAAACCCACTACTTCTCAGACAAAATCTTGTAGCGCCGGGAATCGAACCTGGACCTCTGGATCTGTAGCCAAGAGCTCTTGACCTCTAGACTACAGAGGCGGTTCGATTAGTTAAGCACAGAGACAAATTTACCTATTTTACATTTACTGTACCACAGAGTGTACCTGTGTTTCGTATGGCTCTCCCAATAAAGTGCAACTATTTCCGTAAACAGCATTCACCAGTTGGTCTTTGTAGCAAACATGTGACGTGTTTCCAGCGACATACTGCCGGAGGGTTTAAATAATGTTTAGAAGACATTCGGTCTTTGAAGGATTAAATACCGTGATATAAGATAATTTTAAATATATTTAACTTCATTTTCAAGTTTCAGAATTCTGTCGCTGGAGAAGGTGACTAGGTTCTGGGGGAAGGGAATGGAAGTGCTATATATATTGTCACGTAGTGTGACTATAGACGGGACTTGGATTGGTGAATGGATTTGTTAACCACTTCTACACACCACTCGGAACTACAAGCAATTACAGAGCCACAGCTAATCTCCACAACTCAAAAATTACCACAGCACCCACTAAGTCTCTTCCAACCTGCTGTGTTTTCACCAGCCGTTCCCAGTGCAAGGCTTCTAACAGTGGAAGCTTCTTCAGGTTCACGCGCTCAGATCCTATCTTCACAGCCTCCCATGCAGAAATCAACTCACTGTCAACTAACTTTGTCCTTTGCTCATAACATCTCGGCACGGACTACATAGATATTACCGTTCTTCTACTGTCTCATTTCCGTTGCCGCAGGAACGTGTTTACCGAGCCTTTGCCCAAAGAACTTCGCGGCGTGAACCATATAAAACACACTTCTTCTATTGTTGAGTGCGTGTATGTTGCGGGCGTTACCTATCAACGGCCGCTGTTTGAAGAGTCACCGCTTAGCAACGGGTCTATACGCCACATTGCTTCATCCAGTTCTTCATTTCCGAGGGCTGTGCTTGCGACGTCTGTGATCGGTCTCACCTTCCTCCCGTGGTTCGGTTTGAATGATGTTTACTCTCCAATAGCTCCCGCTGCTCCCTCCTTAGGGCCTCTCGTCCCGAGCGGTTCCCTGACAAGGTGCGAGTCGGTCTAGGTATACTACCATCAACCTTCTTTTCGACAACACGACACACAACAGGATGCAAACAATAAATATCCTTCTTTCGGTCGATGTTCCTACATCTCCGACTCTTACTCTGTGTGTAGTTTGTTTATACTTTTGTGAGAACTAAATCAGATCTGATGTGTCATTGCTCTCATCATTAGATAACGGGAGCAGGTCACGGAATCGGCCGACAATTGGCGATCGAGTTCTGGGAAAAAGGAAGTACGGTGATCTGTGTGGACATCGACGAGGAAAGTAACCAGTTTACTGCCCGCACCATCAATACACGGGTGAGTACAAGCGCAACTACTATTTCCTGAACTGTCGACAGTTACTCAACTGTTCAGTTACTTCTCTGTTGCGACGGAACCGAAAGATTCATTACCGTTGAGCCATATCATAATCTAGCGCATTCCTAATCGTGTTCTCGAAACCCGCCCAACTTCCAGTTCAGTATTATCCGTTCACTTGCCTGTCCGTCTCGTACGTAATTTACCATTTTCATTTTCAAGCAAGATTTTCCACTCCTGGATCCCCCCTGGCATCCTAAGGTTTAGGGCCATTTCGGTGTTCATTTTTTTTCATTGGCACTACAGCCCCAGTGGGCCTAGGCCTACCTCCATGAACTCCGTTCACTTCGGTTTTTCTAGATCTTACACATACGGTAGGACTCCTTGGGCGAGTGATCAGCTCGTCGCAAGGCCTCTACCTGTAGACAAACACAGAAAAACGCATACAAACATCCATGCCCTGAGTGGGATTCGAACCCACGATCCCGGCTTCCGAGGGAGCGAAGAAAGTACATGCCTTAGACCGCTCGGCTACCGTGACCGGCCGGTGTTCATTTACTGTAATAATTGTTAGACGAAGGCAAGTCTCTTAACACAAATTATACTCACAGAATTATTGGGTTTTTTTGACTTTTTTCATCGTCCGGAATTCCAGATAATAGAGGAAACGAAGTTTCGGAAACTGGATTTGTTTCCGTCTTCAGGTGAGAAAGGAAGACACCTACTCAGTTAGGTCCCCTAGAAGGAGCTGCACCATTGATTGAGATTAGCTCTTTCTAAGGGGCCCACCTGACTATGTGTCTTCCTTTCTCACCTGAAGACGGAAACAGATAAAATTTCCAAAACGTCGTATCCTCTATTATCTAGAATTCCGGACGATGGAAAAAGTCCAAAAATCCAGCAATTCTGTGTGTCACCCACCATCGTCAGAGCCCTTTAGAATCTACAAATTATACTCTTAACATAAATTCCAAATACAGTAATTTATTAAAACACAACAGTGTGACTGCAATTTGAAACACGAATGTACTTATAAGCAACGTTATTTCTATGGTTCCACAACAAACGTTAAATTTATAAGCTCCAACAAATAACAAGAAATTGTAGTTCCTGTTCAAAAATGTATTTTTATAATTCTAAACCAATCAAAGTGCGAGTAAGGCAAACTAATGCGCGGAAGTGTATTTTACTTTTGTGAGGTGGCTCAATTTGGACACTAATATTTTGTAGATATTCTATTTCGCTATTGTTGGCTGCTGGCCCTATATCTAAGAAGAAGAGTGACAGTGACCCTGTGTCTAATGTTCGATATGTTTCTAATTTTGTGCCCCATATGTTCAATATGTTCTCTCAGCAATTCCTGCTGCACCGAATGCTGTAGACTCTGACTGCACTCTGCACGAACGTTGTTCCCGAGGTTGGTACGTGTGGAATTTGTGCCCCATATAACTGTCCTCTTAGTGGCCTTACGTTGGGCTCCACTTAATCTTTTGTAACCGTCCCTCCTACCTCCCGCCTGCGGCTCCGTCTGAATAGTAGTGCAGGGAGTGGGAGTCGATGGCGATCGGCCCCTCTGCTCCGAGGACCACTTCGACGCTGCCCTACCTGGTGTTGCCGCTGCTGAAGTTGCTAGGTCGTAGCTGGTTTCGGCTTGACCCGGCTCCACCGCTTCTTTCTTCAGTTGATATTATTGGGGGTTGGATTTCAGGATTGGACCTGATAGTATGGGCGCCAGCAAACAGTTTGAGGCTGTATACGGTTCATAGTAAGTGGGGGGAAGGCGTGAGCATGTGGAAGCTGACGGTGGGTTTGACTAGACAGTGGAGATGAGTCTCTCCTCAGGTCGGGTACGGGTCAGGCTCGGACAAGTGAGGGTGAAGCACTGTACCACCACAACACTTTATTGTTCTTCTTCTTAGAGACACTCGGCTGCGTAAATTCTCACAATCTGATTTAGTTGCAGCTTACAAGCAGCTGGTGTTACACTTACACTAAAATACACTCGATCAGCTCGCCTAATTCCTCGGTGCCGCGCTCTTGTTGATTAAGCTAAATCTCAGTATGACTCGTTATAAGAGCAAAATTTTGTACTTCTTAAAATTATCTTTTAGCGCGTGTGATGCGGGGTTTGCCTCCGCCAAGTTCAAAAGTTGATAGACGACTAAAACCTTAAACTGACCTCTCTGCCGAGCCAGAGGTCCTAATTGAGTTGTATCTGCCTGTTCTCCTCTCCTCCTAATTTCCCTGATAGGCTGATTCAAATAAGAGGAGTTGGCTTAATTTTGGTTTCGGCCAATGACAAATTATTTTTAAGGGAATTTCGCCCTAAAAGACCAAACGGCGAAATTGACAGCGATGCAACTTATGAGGGGTTGCTAATAATCTCCTGGCACTCCCACCTTTGACTTACGGCTGGTAGAAACTGTCACTTCTCGAATTCTCAAAGTGTCTTGCCGCTGTAAGGCTAATTCTCAATTTCTAAAGAAACTCAGTGGGGTTCCTTGAAGTATCATTTCTGCTCTTTTGGAAAATAACACCAGATGCTTGGACGCAAGAACTAGCAGATGTACTTGTCCGCGCAAGTTTGGTCTATTTGCTCATCGCCTATTCCTTGTTCTTACAGTGTGTCTTAAATCTTTGTTTCTTCATAAATTCTTATTATTAACTCTATCAGCTACTGAAATAAAAAAGGAGGGGGAGGATTTCGATGGTGCGGTTACACCCATACGTTCAACATGTTCTCTCAGCAATTCCTGCTGCACCGAGTGGTGCACACTTTGATTACCACTCTGCACACACGTTGTTGCCGAGGTTGGTATGTGTGGAATTCAATTCCTTTTCTCTTTTAGTATATCTGCTATTGTCTTGTGACATGATAATTTGCTTGTTATATTTATTTTGTCGTCGATTAAAGTGTAGTTTGATCTGTTTATTACCTATTCAATCACAGCTGTTATTCGTTGCTAGTATGATATTCCTGGGACAGATATCGGTGGGTGTGCTGGCCTTCGGTTTCTGCATGTCGCAGAGTTTGAGACTTACAAGTGGTTATTATGTGAGTTGAGCTGTTGTTTGATCGTTGAGGTTACTTCGAAATCCGGTCCGACCTTCATCAGGCTTCTCTCTTTCCTTCTAAGCGAGCTTGACAATGCTGCAACGGATTATTTCTTTCTTTTGTGCTTTTTCTTTAGGCTGAAACACTTAAGTTTTCCATTATCTCTCTTGCGGTGAATGTTCGACTGCTTCACGAAACCATTTCATAATTGCCGTTTCGTGAGGTTTTCTATTATAAATACCTGACTTCTCTTCTTTCTGTCCAGAACTGCTCCTACATGAATTACGTGCATTCTCCCGTTCTTTTACAGGGTGATTCATATAGAACCGGCCCGACGAAATGAGGTGTAATATAAAATATACCATACAGATATTAAAGTAATTTACACATATCTTATCTTGGATTGTGTGCCGTGATCAGAGCACGTGTTGAAAGTGTCCGCCGTTTTCAAGTAGGCATTAGAAACACTCGCTGTTCAACAGTGTACTCCATGACTGTCGCCTGCGCACTGCAGACACGTTTCGGCATTGTCCTTGACCTTGCAGCATAAGGGCTGCCACTTGCCGGATCATGCGCACACCATTCGACTCAGCACGGCCCACGGATTATTATGTCGTAATTGTGAGCGGTTATATGCATCACCTGCGGAATTATTAGCAAATTCATCGGGCCGGTTCTATACGATTCACCCTGTATATTTGCAGTATAGATACTTGCAGAAACCTTTTCATTTTTTATTTAAATCTTCAATAAATTGATGTGCATGATCGCGTCTGCCATGTGCATTATCGTCCACGCCTAACAGTTTGCATCTAACCGAACTATCTCTGCTAGTTCTGTTTTTTTTTTAATTCGCTTAGTGGGGGGTGGAGTCCAACTGGGTCCACTCGGCACGGCGGCCACTGATTGGCCTATTGTACCTGCCCCGGGTGATTATGGTGATGGAGACTTTGGTGGAATGAAGATTGGCAGGGGAAACCGAAGTACTTGGAGAGAACCCGCCCTAGCGCCACTTTGTCCACCACAAATCCCACTTGACCAGACCCGCGGTGGGAAGCTGGCGACTAACCGCTTGAGATATGGCGCGGCCTGCTAGTTCTGTTAGTCTCTATCGCAAGTATTGCACATTATTTCTTAGAATGATGGATGGCCTACAGTCATTTGATACTGCGGGGACGGAAGAAATTGGGTCAAGCAATAGCGTCTCTTATGGTATCTTAAATAGGCCACGGCCTCTAGCGTCCACTAGTCTTAGGGAAGAACAGAGACTGAGGGAGTTTGAGAAGAGATTGCAGAAGAGAATATTTGGACCCAAGAATTATGAAATAATGGGAGGTTCGAAAGGGACTTCATTTCGTGTGCTCTTCGCCTTATATGATAAGATGGGAGGACATGTGGCACGCATGGTAGAAAAGAGGAATGTATATAGGGTTTTGGTGCGAAAGCCAGAAGGGTGGAGACCACTAAGAATATGTAAGAAAGTGGAACCATGAAGTGAAGTTTAGCTAGTGCAGTGCCATGTTAAGCTGCCGATCCCTGAGGCTACAGCAACAAGGTGAACACACAGTAATCATACATCAGTATGTACACAGTGCAAATAATGAGGTATTTAATTACCTCCCTTTTTATAATCAACCTTACCCATCCCTTGCTTCCGAAGGAAATTCCCTGTAGTTCGGGCAGGGTGCTGGCAACTACCGAATCTTCTCAATCGCCCCCCCCCTCCGCACATTAATGGCGTAACATTAGTAGTAGACAAACAGGATGGGGTGGTATGGGCTGGATTCTTCTGTCTCAGGAAAGGGGCCAGTGGCGGACTCTTAATGATGTAAGTGTAAGTGTACTTATTTCCTATCTTCCAGTGATAAATATTGCAATTTCAGCAGATTTTGGGGAGGAGGGGGTCTGCTCACCTAACTATACGTCGTAATGTGCGCCCTTCAAG